GAGAAAGAAAGAGAATTGCAAAGAGATGAGTTTCTGTATATTGCTAGAATGAATATTACAAGATTCTTACACACTTATATAGCACAGTGGCTGCCTTATCTCTTAAGCTACTAGCACTAACAGTTTTAACTAATCTTCCCACCAATTCTAACTAACTACCAAATATGCCAACTGCCTTACTTAACAGTTTGCCATATCAGCACCATTTTACCTTTGGACCATACTACCCTTCTTATACTAGTCAATATCCCTCCGCAATCTTAACTTGGGTTACCAAGTTTAAGATTGTAACAAATTGATCTTTAGTTAAGATATCGGCATATTGATTAGTGCCCTCCCTTGCAGCAGAAGGTGATCTCAATACGATACTAGCATGGCTTCCAAGCCTTGACACACTCCTTCCACCTTTAGGAGTAGTAAACCTTGGACTTGAACCTCGGTAACTGGCACGAAGAGTTTCATCAATAAAAGATGAGGACTTGCCCATTACATTTCTTACAAACTTCTTAGCAGCAGGGGAGAGTGTCTACACACTTGGACTGGCACTGCCATCTCTAGAAGGCGACGGCAGAGGTGGCTTGTGAAACAATTTTGACCTTTCCCTCAATTTGCGTGCAGCTTCCCTTGACAGTAAGTGGGCCTTTTTCATTATTAACAGAAATCAAGAAACACACCCCTCTTCGGCAATCGGCCTTCAATGAAGAAAGGGGATAAGAACTGTACTCTGGCAATCGGCCTTAATGGAGTTGCACACAATAACAACAAACAAAACTTTTCAAGAATGTTACTCCGGCTATCAACCTTTAAAGAGTAACACACAATATCTGAGACAGAACTTTTCACTCCGGCTATCGGCCTTACGGAGGAAACAAATTGCATTCAACACACTCTTGGCAATCGGCCTTTTTCGAGTGCACAAATTTCAAATAACCAAGAACTAGTCAAGCAACAGAAAGGAATGGCTATCGGCCTTTGTATTCCTTCAACAATCTCGCAGAAAATGGCTATCGGTCTTAATAGAGAAACTTGCATACAAGAAACCACATCGAAGAAACAAATTTTCACTGCGGCATTTAAGCAAACAGATGGTGTGCACCGTGGAATCAAAAAGAAAGAACATGATACAAATGGAAATATGGACATTTGAGCAGAAAAACCCCAAGAAACTTCAACCGATCGCAAGGAGTCGCATAGCGGAATTGAGTCCGAGAATCGGCCTGGCTCTTGATACCATGATAACAGTTCACAGAGAACCGAAGAAAAGCAGAACACTTAGAGAGAAAGAAAGAGAATTGCAAAGAGATGAGTTTTTGTATATTGCTAGAATGAATATTACAAGATTCTTACACACTTATATAGCACAGTGGTTGCCTTATCTCTTAAGCTACTAGCACTAACAGTTTTAACTAATCTTCCCACCAATTCTAACTAACTACCAAATATACCAACTGCCTTACTTAACAGTTTGCCATATCAGCACCATTTTACCTTTGGACCATACTACCCTTCTTATACTAATCAATATAACTAACCCTACTGCAGCAGTCTGCATATATAATTCTTCACTTGTTTTTCCCAGTTTTTTTCGTGTCCCTTCCAAGAGCAATATGAGTATTTGGCAGATAGGAGCCTCCACCATTCTGAAAAGATGACTGGGATGACGAAGACTTCGTATCGTCCCTACCTAGATCACCCTGAGCGTTGTTGGGACTTAAAAAAGGCTTCACTACTTTGGAGATGTTTATCTCACAAAGAAGAATGAAATGCAGCGGAATTGATAGGCAAGAGAAAGAACACTCAAAGTGTTATACAAAAATTTTTATTTTCACACAAACTTAGTACAAGAGGAAACACTCAAACACTCTCACACTTATTGCTCTCTTACTTGCTCTCACTTCTTCTTAGTTCTTGCTTCACAACACACACACATACACCTATTTATAGGTGTGGTTTTGCCGACTTTCCTTATTGCACCGACTTGAGCATTGCTTACAGCCACACGAATTGCTAGCTTTGATCTTTCTAGAAAAAGGATACATTAGATATAGTTTAGATATTTCTAGATGGCTTAACCGACTTGGTCTTTGCTGGATTTTAATATGCATGCATTTCACCTGCTTTTGCTAGAATTATCTAGCATTTGCATGAACCATCAATTAGCTTGTGTTGCCTTTTCAGCATGGGTTGGACTCGGCCCAAGACTGGATTAGAATTCAACATCCCCCCTTAATCTTGTCTTGTGACGCCGATTGAATTTCTCAATCTCATAAAGTCTTCTTGTTTGAGTGGCTTGGTGAATATGTCCGCCATTTGGTCTTGAGACTTCACGTATTCCACTTGCACATCCTTTCTTGTAATACACTCTCTTATGTAATGATAGCGGGTATCTATGTGTTTGCTCCTGTCATGGAATACTGGATTCTTTGCTAGAGCTATTGCAGACTTGTTGTCGACATAGATCTTTGTTGGCTCTTCTTGTGGCATGCTTAATTTTTTTAGTAAGTTTCTCAGCCAGATTGCATGACAGACACATGAGGTAGCAGCTACGTATTCAGCTTCGCAGGTAGAGAGAGTGACAATCGGTTGCTTCTTAGACATCCATGTGAATGCAGTGTCTCCCATGAAGAACACAAATCCAGTAGTGCTTTTTCTATCATCGGAATCTCCTGCCCAATCACTGTCGCTATATTCAGCAAGTTTATAGTTATCAGAACTTGAATAGAACAAGCCAAAGTTAACAGTACCTTTAAGGTATCGAAGAATTCTTTTGGCTGTCTTCAAATGTGTAGTTGTGGGATTCTCCATGTAGCGACTGACTAATCCGACGGCATAGAAAATATCTGGTCTTGTGCAAGTCAAGTAACGCAAGCTTCCAACTAAACTCTTGAAAAATGTTGGATCTACACTTTCTCCTTCGTCATGCTTGGTTAGTTTGACTCCGCACTCCACTGGCGTGCTTATGGGTTTGCAGTCGTCCATTTTGAACTTTTTCAGTATCTCCTTTGTGTAGCTTTCTTGGGAGATGAAAATACCTTCTTCGTTCTGCTTGACTTCAATGCCTAGGTAGTATGCCATCAACCCGATGTCCGTCATCTCGAATTCTTTGGTCATCACTCTCTTGAACTCTTCAAACATGCTTGGATTACTTCCGGTGAAGATTAGATCATCCACATATAAACACACAATCAAAATATCTCCATCTTTGACTTTGACGTAGAGAGCATGTTCATGAGGGCACTTGGTGAAGTTGTTCTCCTGGAAGTACTTGTCAATGCGACTATTCCATGCTCGTGGCGCTTGTTTTAAACCATATAGGGCTTTCTTCAACTTCAGAACTTTATCTTCATGCCCTTTGATTTCATAGCCTGATGGTTGCTGAATGTAGACTTCTTCTTCAAGGACTCCATTTAGGAAAGCGGACTTCACATCCATTTGTTGAATCCTCCATTTGTTTTGAGCTGCCAAAGAAATTAGTAATCGTATAGTTTCCAACCGAGCAACGGGTGCAAATACCTCATCATAGTCGATTCCGGCTCTTTGACTATAACCCTTCGCCACTAATCTCGCCTTGTATCTTTCGACCTCTCCATTGGCATTTTTCTTTGTCTTGTACACCCACTTGACTCCGATGGCTTTGTGTCCTTTCGGAAGAATAGCGAGTTCCCATGTATCATTCTTCTGGATTGCTTCAATTTCTTCATCCATTGCTCTCATCCACTTAGTATCTTGCACTGCTTCTTGGAAGTCAACTGGTTCACAATCAGCAAAGAGACAGAAAAGTGTAGGATTATCGAGTCTTTCAGCTATCTCATAGAGATCTCGTAGACTTCTTGTGCGTGGTACTTCTCTTTCATTTAGACTCCCACTTGATGATGCTGATGCTGGTGAATTACCATGATTGGTTGATGTTGGTGAAGCAGGTGGAGTAGTGGATTCTTGTTGAACCTCTCTTGCTTGCTCCATCATCCCTTGTTCATTATCTTCTTCAAACTGAGGAAAGAAGTGAAGATCACCTGCATGAGAGCAAAAATCCCATTCTCATTCTTCATCGAACGTCACATCTCGACTGATCACCATCTTCCCATTGTTTGGATTATACAACTTATAGCCTTTTGAGTTTGAGTCATAGCCGATGAAGATGAACTTCTCACTTTTGTCGTCGAGTTTGGTTCTCCTTTCGTCTGGTACATGTACATGGGCTATGCTTCCAAAAACTCTTAGATGAGAGATACCTGGTTTTCTTCCACTCCATGCTTCTTGCGGAGTCTTTCCCCACACACTTCTTGTTGGAGACCGATTGGATAGGTAGACAGCACATGCTACAGCTTCTGCCCATAACTCTTTAGGCAATCTCTTACTTTTGAGCATACTTCGAGCCATGTCGAGGATAGTTCGATTTTTTCTTTCCGCCACACCATTTTGTTGAGGGGATCTTGGAACTGTCAAAGGTCGACGAATTCCATTTGCTTCACAAAACTCTTGAAATTCCTTCGAAGTGAATTCTCCTCCTCGATCAGATTTCATGGCTTTGATCTTGCAACCACTTTCTTTTTCTACAGCAGCTTTAAACTTCTTGAATGCTCCAAAGACTTCTGATTTCTGCTTCAAGAAATACACCCAGGTTTTCCTTGAAAAATCATCAATGAAGAGAAGGAAATAATTATTTTTACCCAAAGAGCTTGGTTTTATTGGGCCGCACACATCGGTGTGAATGAGCTCAAGTGGCTTCTGGGTTCTTGTGGTCGACTCCTTTGGAAAGCTTTTCCTGAACTGTTTCCCAAGTAAACATCCTTCACAAACTTGATCAGGGTGGCTGATGCACGGTAAGCCTCTCACCATCTTCTTCTTAGATAATAACTCCAATCCCCCAAAGTTAAGATGCCCAAAACGAAGATGCCAAAGCCAAGATATGTCTTTGTAACATATCTTGAGACACTTTGCAACATCGTTTTGAATGTCCATGGGAAACATCCTATTCTTTGACATTTTCTCCTTGGCAATTAATCTTCCTTTGTCATCTCTAAGAAAAAGGATATAATTTTTCGTATGAAAATCATAACCTTTTTCTAAGAGTTGACCCAAACTCAAAATGTTGCTTTTCATATTGGGCACGTAGTAGACATTTGAAATTAATTGGTGACCTCCATTTTTCAAGGGAATAAGGATGTTACCTTTTCCTTTTACAGGTATTTTGGATTCATCTCCAAAAGAAACGTTGCCATTCACTGATTCATTGAGCTCTACGAACACGCTTCTTCTTCCACACATGTGGTTGCTGGCGCCGGTGTCAAGGTACCATGTATAGTCTTGGTCTTTATCATTGTTCTTGCATGCTAGTAGCACAATGCCATTCTCTTCTTTATCTTCTTTCACATAATTGACCTTTTCATCAGGTCTGTTGCTTGGAGCTCTACATTCCCAAGCATAATGCCCGAACTTTTGACAATTGTAGCATTGAACTTGAGATTTTTCATACCTCAAGTTTGAGCGTCCTCTTCCACGACCTTTTGTTGAGCTTCCTCCTCTTTCGTAGTTACTATGGTTGTTGAAGTTCCAACCACGTCCACGTCCATGTCCATGTCCGCGACCTCGACCACGACTTCTTTCGTACTGGCTTCTCTCGTTATCGAAGCTTTCTTCTTTCTTCTTTGGCTGAACATGCGTCTGGAGGAGCTGCTCATCATTCCCTTGCCTCTTTTTATGTTTCTCTTCATATGCTTGTAGCGAACCCATTAATTGCTCTATACTAATTTCTTCCAAGTTCTTTGTTTCTTCAATCGTCACGACAATGTGCTCGAACTTGGGGTCCAACGAGCGTAGTATCTTCTCCATAATTCTAACATCTTCTAACTTTTCTCCGTTTCTTTTTAATTGATTGGAAACGGCTAAGACTCTTGAAAAATAATCAGAGATTGATTCAGACGCTTTCATTTGTAGAGATTCGAACTCACCTCTTAGTACTTGAAGACGAACCTTTTTCACTTGTTCAGCTCCTTTGTAAGAGGTTTGAAGCTTCTCCCATGCTTGCTTGGCAGAGGTTGCACTCGAGACTTTCTCAAAGCCATTGTCATCTAATGCTTGGTAGATGAGGTAGAGAGCCTTCTTGTCTCTCTTTCTTGAATCTTTCAAACTCTCCTTCTGGGGTTGGGACAGAGTAGCTTCATCTTCTGGCTCAGTGTAGCCTTTCTCCACGACTTCCCAGACATCATGTGCTCCCAAAAGGGCCCTCATTTTGATACTCCAATTATCGAAGTTGTTGTTGTCGAGCACTGGAACTTGGAAGGCTGCCATAGCGTTGCTAGCCATAGCTCTGGTACCACTTTGTTGGGACTTAAAAAAGGCTTCACTACTTTGGAGATGTTTATCTCACAAAGAAGAATGAAATGCAGCGGAATTGATAGGCAAGAGAAAGAACACTCAAAGTGTTATACAAAAATTTTTATTTTCACACAAACTTAGTACAAGAGGAAACACTCAAACACTCTCACACTTATTGCTCTCTTACTTGCTCTCACTTCTTCTTAGTTCTTGCTTCACAACACACACACATACACCTATTTATAGGTGTGGTTTTGCCGACTTTCCTTATTGCACCGACTTGAGCATTGCTTAACAGCCACACGAATTGCTAGCTTTGATCTTTCTAGAAAAAGGATACATTAGATATAGTTTAGATATTTCTAGATGGCTTAACCGACTTGGTCTTTGCTGGATTTTAATATGCATGCATTTCACCTGCTTTTGCTAGAATTATCTAGCATTTGCATGAACCATCAATTAGCTTGTGTTGCCTTTTCAACATGGGTTGGACTCGGCCCAAGACTGGATTAGAATTCAACAAGCGTTTGGCAGATACGAGCCTCTAGCCCTCGGAAAAGATGACTGGGATGACGAAGAATTTGTTTTGGGCCTTCCTAAAACATTTTGAGCAACTGGCGGATCCGAGTTAGAAGATATAGTTGCTAATGATTATCTTAATTAAACTTGTACACAGAAGGTGTGTAAAGGAGATCAATTTCTGGATTTTGGGCATTGAAGTTGGAAATATTTATAGTTTCCGATTGGGAGGGACGTTATGGTTCGTATCATGCAGTTTGGTTTCCACAGAACTACAAAGAAATTAGAGTAACCTAAGCGCATAAGTAAACACAATTTATTTGTTTAACTTGAATTCCTTTTTCTATGTCTCCAGCTGAATGTGAGTGGTCGGCTGAGCTGAGAAGAATTGGTTCTTACGCCGCTTGTGCAGCGCAGTTAAGAAGAAATCATTGACGCTGTTTTGATTGCGCTGGCATGTGATTGCTTGGGGGATTTCTCCTCCTATATCATACACACATATTCCTGGAAAATGAGAACAAGTTTCTGACAAGGTTCTTTGCTAGATTGATTGAGTTAATACATGGATATTTACATAATGTATGGGAAATTTCTCATAAAATTTCTCTCCATTGATAATTTCTGGGGTTTCTCTGTGATATAATTTTCTTTTCTCTCTGTGACCCCGTGTGTGTATATCTTGTGTGTGTGTGTATATCTGTTGACTTTCAACCGCTTAAGAAAATGAAGAGAAAGGCTTACTCATATAGAAAAACATTAGTGGATCGAAACCCACAAACGAATTGTAATATTATATGTGGCTCTCCAGGCATGCATATGTGTGTTCATCCATATCAGTTTCCTTGTTAACAAAGAAGGAAAGAAATCTTCTAAGGCTTACATGCAGTAAGTTGCTGCACAAGTTCCCAGTTTTTTCCCAAAAACACAAATAAGGGATTGATCGGTGGGTATGCAGACGGACCATTTCCAAATCAGAATATGTGTTTGTGACCAGAAGGGGAGGTGTTTGCCGAGTGAAGAAGAACAAGTAAGAAATCAAATGGAGGATTTATGAGTCTAACGATATTTTAGACCGTTATCATCACCTTCAATGAATTGGAACCAAGCTCATAGATCCAAAGAAGCCTCCCATCATCCAAGTTGCCAAAATCTCGGTCCTTAGTCAAAAGCAAGCACACACAATGAAACTTAATGCCCCACATAATTAAGAATTTTTACAAGCTGTACGAGGAGAAAACTTCTTGAATCAAGATGAACTGAAAAATGTCAAGTGACGTAAACACCACATCCAAGTAGCCCATACTAATTTTAGAGAAGAGGACTCGGTTTCCCATCCTCTTCATAAGCTAGGCTTGGCTACTCTTAATTTTGAAGTTGGATCGGCAGGGATACGCCTTTTAATGCTCATGAAGGACTTTTCATATTGCCTCTATGTTATATTTTGTGGTCCATTCCTTCATGGTTTGACTTCAATCCTTTGGGACTTGGAAAACAACCCTCATCCAAACATAGCACATATATATTCTATGAAGTGAATAATAAATTGAAAGAGATGAAAAGCATCCATAAAACGGGAGCATGTCAAAGAACCAGGGATGTATGGTTTGGGAATTTTGTCAGAGATGGAGGTGTTTGTGTGGCTTTTGTTATATTTTTTACTTTTATTTTTAAGGGTGTGATGGTGTCTAATTTAGTTGTAATTTTATATTTCGTATTTTTAAATTAAAAATTATGTACGAATTTTGAGTAGGATGATACATGGTTGGTGCTACGCCTTACAATAAGCTTGTCATAATAATATGGTTCAACTTCGGCTTTGGCGAGAATCGAACCAAAGACCTCTCACTCATAAGTGAACAGGAATACCACTAGACCATAGCACTAAGTGTTTGCTTTTTTAGTTGAACAAATGATAATATGTGCACTAAGGGGGTTGGGGAGATAATAAAATAGTTTTCTACCCGTTTTTACTTGAAATTTAACTAAAATAGCTTTCCACCCCTTTATACTTGCTTAAAATCTATGCAAACATCAACTATATATAGAAAAAAATCAAATAATATATTAATGCATTTCTTTTGATACATTCTTGTGGGATTTGTTCTTAGCAGCACCCACCCTTTTTTACAATATAATAATGCTGACTGAACTTAAGAAATTATAATGTACATGTTTCTAACCTTGAAAAGAAATATTTGTACCAAATAATGGAGACAAATATTTTCCAAGTTTGTAAATATAAATATGCAATTGTGCTTATTTATGTCCAACTGTATTTTGTATACCTCCATGGTTGCCAACAAATTAATCAATAATTCAATTGTATAGTATATAACCTTAATGTAACAGTCTGCATATATAATTCTTCACTTGTTTTTCCCAAATTTCTTCTTGTCCCTTCCTAGAGCGCTATGAGTATTTGGCGGATACGAGCCTCCACCACCACTTTGAGATGATGATTGGGACGCCGAAGATTTCATCTTGTCCCTTCCTAGAGCACCCTGAGCGTTTGGCAGATACGACCCTCCAGCACTCTGGAAAGATGACTGGGAGGAGGAAGAATTCCTTTTGGGCCTTCCTATAACACCTTGAGCATCTGGCGGATCCGAGTCAGACATAATTGCTAATGATCAGCTTAATTAAATTTGAGCATTAAGGTGTATACCTTGTGGATTTTGCATTGAAGTTGGAATATTTATAGTAGCCGATTGGGAGGGACGTTAGGGTTCGTATCGTGCAGTTTGGTTTCCACAGACCTACCAGGAAATTAGAGTAACCTGACCGCATAAGTAAACACAATTTATTTGTTTAATTTGAATTCCTTTTTCTATGTTTCCAGTTGAATGCGAGTGGTCGGCTGAGCTGAATTTGTTTTTATGCCGCGTATGCAATGCTGTTAAGAAGACATCTTTGACGGTGTTTTGATTGCGCATGCATGTGATTGCTTGGGGGATTTCTCCCCCTGTATCATACACACATATTCTTGGAAAATGAGAACAAGTTTTTGACTAGGCTGTTTGTTATATTAATTAAGTTAATACATGGGCTGGATATTTACATTATATATTGGAAATTTCTCTTAAAATATTTTCTCTCCATTTTTAATTTCTGATGTTTCTCTGTGATATAATTTTCCTTTCTGTGTGTGTATATCTTTATGCCAATGGATGGAGGGCTCAGATCTTAATCTACAGGCTCTTCATGCGTTCATATGTGTGTGTATTCATCCATATCAGTTTCCTTGTTAACAAAGAAAGAAGAAATCTTCAAAGGGCTGCATGCAGTAAGTTGCTGCACAATTTCTCAGATTTTTCCCAGAAACACAAATAAGGGACTGATCGGTTGGTAAGACCAACAGACCATTTACAAATCAGAAATACGTGTTCGTAAGGGGAGGCGTCTGCCGAGTGAAGAAGAACAAATAAGAAATCAAATGGAGGATTTATGACCCATGCATGTTAATGGCACACGAAGTCCAGTATATAGTTTCCTAGCTACAACAGTGGGAAATGAAACGTACACCTAGCACAAACACGTTTATACACACACGCGCGCGCGCGCGCACACACACACATATCTATATATGTCAACACGTTTCGACATTAACCATGTAATTTCGACTTAAATCTCATTGAAAGTCAATCCTCGTAGCTCCACAGACATGGGTGGCATGGCTCCATGGGTCATAAATCCTCCATTTTATTTCTTATTTGTTCTTCTTCTTTACTCGGCAGACGCGTCCCCTTCTGATCACGAACATGTATTTCTCATTTCTTAATTGTCCATCGGTCTTGCCTACCGATCAATCCCTTATTTGTGTTTCTGGTAAAAATTTGAGAAACTGTGCAGCAACTTACTGCATGCAGGTCTTTGACGATTTTTTTCTTTCTTTGTTAAAAAGGAAACTGATATGGATGAATGCACACAAATGCATGCATGGAGAGTCTGTAGATAACATCTAAGCCCTTCATCCTCTGGCATAAAGAGGGACACGTATAGGCTTCATACGCTGGTTATCCCATGTAATTTGGGGAAACGGGTTAAATTATTTGTTGACCTATAAAAAAAAAAAATCCTAAATTATTTGGATACACATACATATAACGTTTTTTTTTTATTTTCTTGTCAATTAGAGATTTTACAACAAAGTCCAAACAAACAATGGATAAAGATTTTGAATATGGTAGACCAGCCACCTCAAAAATGAGGAGGCTGCAAATGAGACGTCACAACTTAAGGTGTTTACATAAAGTGGACATCAACCCAAATAATATAAAGACCTACACACAAAAAAAAGCCCAAAAGTGACCACAAACAAAGAACTAAGAGAAATACTACAAAGGTCACCCACCGTCATCGCCTAAAATCTAATGAAGCAGGCCATCCACCACAAAACCCAAAAAGACCACCCAAACACAACTATAGCCCATTATGTATCATCACCTCCAGTGAAATGGACCCAAACCCGC